GGAAGTGGCTATTTCCGCGTCCGACGCGTATTTACCTATTTTCGCGTCCTATGCTGTGATTGGTCCAAATATTGATAATATATTATCATTTTTATCATCTGATTTTTACCGCCTTAATTTAAATTTCAGATCAATTATTATTTAATATGCACTGGGCGACTTCCCCCTCCCGCTAATCATCCCCATTCCTTTTACTTAATGTAATACATGTAATTAAAGATTGTAAATATAATTTTTTGTTCAATAAAAAAAAAAATTTAATATGCAGGTAATTTAATTATTTATATTTATTATGTTATTGTAATATACATATTCTGTTGACCTATTATTTCTTGATGACATAAAGATACAAAAACATTAAGTCTTAAATTAAGAGATATATTCCTCAGTGGTTAATTCCACAGATAAGAAAATACTCTCCAATAGACATATAGTCTGTTCTATTATATTTGAGAGAAGTGTTGTGTCAATCATATATAACCGGGTATATTCCTCAGTGGATAATCCCACAGATAACAAAAATTATTTTTGTAAAAATTATTCTCCTATTTTCAAGACAATATAGACATATAGTCTGTTGACTGTTGTTTGCTGTCTATTTCAGTGTAACAGTTTGAGTGAAGTGAATCATATTTTAAATTTTTCTTTTGTGAATATAATATTATAATAGCTATGGCAGAAGCAACTCAAACATTAAAAAAAGGTGATGAGTTCTGTAGTTTGGTTAGGTTAGAGGAGGCCATTAAAAGATTTGAAGACAGTGAAAACTGCAATCTATCAAAATTTAACACAAGGACAATCTAAGGTGCCAAACGTAAAGGATTAAAGAGGCATTTAAATCCAGAATTGGAATATGCTTGCTTAAATTATATGTGTGTTCAGGGAGGTGAATATACAAGTAGATCTAATGGGATACGCCCAAATCAAAAGTAAGTAACAATAAAATAATAACTTATTATGCACTAATTAACATATATTATTTTTAACATTTTTAAACAATCTAAATATTTTGTTGATACATTAATACATTTAGTTCATATCGTTCGAAATGCCCTGTGGTGATATGTGTGCGACCTAATGATATAGGTGATAAGTTAGTAATTACTTCTATTGTTACTGAACACAATCATATACGGAGTAAGGTGAGTGAGAAAAAAAAACAATTTTGTTTTTACTATAATTAATATTATTATTAGGCAATCTTTGACCACTATCCACGCCAGCGAAGACTTGACTCTGATGCTAAATCAATAGCATCAAAATTAGTGGCAATGAAAGTCAATAAAAAAATCCTGCAGAATGAGTTGATGGCACAACATAATAAAGTAATAACTTTAAAGGACATACACAACTTGGCTTTAACAAATTCTCCTAAGTTAGACGCCTTAAAATCATTAGTTGAAAGTTTTAAAAACAAACAAGGATTTACTTTGGAAATACTGAAAAATAATAATAACGAGTTAAAGGCCATATTCTATCAAGATGATGAAATGAAAAGAATATTTGCATTATGTCCTGAAGTGCTATTTGTAGACGCAATATATAAAGTCAATGATTTGAGACTACCACTTTATGTATTTCTAGGTTTGTACAATCTCTGCATTTGTGTTACAACCTATTAAATAAATAAAGTAGTTGTCGATAGTAATGGGCAAAGTGAAGTTGTTGGTTATTCCATTCTAACTTCTGAAGACTTAGGAACTGTTACACTTATGGCTTCAATTTTTAAACTGCATAATCCAAACTGGACCAATATTAAATGCATTATGGCCGACAAAGACTTCACAGAGAGAAATGTTTTTAGAGAACAGTTTCCCCAATCTAAAATATTAATTTGCATATTCCATTGTATGAGATCATTTTCACGGGAAATAACTACAGACAAAATGAATATAACTGCAGGTCTTACTTTAAATATAATGTACAATATAGTATGCATGCACTTTGATTTGGTTTTATTATTTTAGGACAAAGAAACCTTTGCCTACAATTGGCACAAGAAATGATATATGCCAAAAATGAAGACGATTACAGTAGAATTCATGGTCAATTAAAAGACACAAAAATTACAAGTGTTGTAAAGTATTTCGAAAAAAATTGGCATACAATTAAAGAAGAATGGGTTGTATATTTTCAGTCAAAATATATGACATTAGGTATTTAACTCAAGTCAAAAGTGTTTGAATTTTATAATTATGAATTATTTATGCATACTTAGGAAACAGAACTAATAATCGATTAGAAAGTACAAACCAAAAAATTACCCAAGTTGTAACAAAATTTTGTAGACTTGATCAATTATTTGAAGGTAAATTTCATTTAACTAAATATTACTAGTTATACTTACTTAAAATACATTTGCAGGGTTGGAAATGTTAATGGTCACTTTGAGGACAGAGAGAGACCATGCTGCTACAGAATGTTTTTGTAAGACACCAAGTTTTGTTTCAAAGTTGACCTACGAACAGCAACAAATGTTTTGGCATTTGACCCCATTTGCTTTTGACCTAATATTGCCGAAATTTGAATCAATGAACCACGTACAAATAGTGTCTGTCGATAATCTAAATCAAACGGTCAAAATTAAATCGAGAGAAGGGGTAATTGAAGTTTCAGACAACAAATGTGTTTGTTCATTTGTAACAAGTTTGTGTTTACCTTGCCATCACATATTCAAAGTTAGGCAAATAAACAATATGTCGTTATATTGTCCAGAATTGTGTGCAGAAAGATGGTCGAGGAAGTATTATAGTACTGTGTGTAGAGTAATTCCTTCGAGTTTTGAATTAGATGTTGAAAGCTCCGGAAGTAAAGATCCGGTAAATGTTACGACCGTACAACCTATGAAACCAAAGCGAATTTTAAACCAACATGAAAAATATAGGAGAGCACATGTTGAGGCTAAGAGGCTTGCTTCTCTAACGTCAGAAGCAACAGGACAAGAATACCTGAACAGATTAAATATTCTTAAATATATAGCAGAAAAGTGGGAGAATGAAAATACCATTAAACTTGAAGACATAGGTATATTGATTCAATAAAATAAGTAGGTCTCTACATATCAAATTTAACAATTAAATAATTATACCTTAGATAACTTACTGAAACAAACAGAAGAAAATTATGAATTTGCCAATGACGATATAATACAGATGGATGACGCTATAATACAGATGGATGACAATTTAATACAGATGGATGACAATATAATACAGATGGATGATGATATAATACAGATGGATCAATTACCAACTTTACCTCCAAGAGTTCCAAAAAGAGGACGTCCAAAAGGTGATTGTATATTCCATATATTTTCAAATGATTATCGTTGATGACATTTATTTTCATACTTTATATTTTAGGTAAAGACAAAACTGCTATTGGTATTGCAAAACGGAAAAAGGTTTCAGGTTTAGTTCCTTTTGAAAAACTTGATGTTTTGACGAGACATTTTGAAATGTTAATTTGGTTTGTGGATAAGGATGTGGCCAGTATTGCGGTATCTGGAAATGGATTTATAGGTGAAACAGCAATTGAAAATAATCCAAATAATATACATTGTGCTGTTTTAGACAGTAACCTCGCGATTGATGATATCAAAAGGTATTTTGACAGCGACGGCTGGGCTGCTCTCCAACAAGTTGTGGATATAAAGCGGATGAATCCAACATGGATATGCAAATCTTGCAATGAGGATTCATCAAATAATTCGATTTGTTGCAATAGATGCCTAGAGTGGTTTCATTTTAAGTGTGTTAATGTTAAAACAACATTAAAAAAAAAAATATGGTTTTGCAGTATCTGTAAGGAAACTTACGATTGATAATATTATATTGATATATTATCTAGAACTAATATTATGACTGTATTTAAAAATACTTGCTTTATACTCTGTGATTTATAGAATTTTACATTTTACATTTACATTTTTACATTTTGTTTTTAAATATTAATAATAATATAAGAACGACTGATTTACATTATTTGTAATATACATATATATATATATATATTTTTGGTATTTTGTAATGATAATATATTATCAATATTTGGACCAATCACAGCATAGGACGCGAAAATAGGTAAATACGCGTCGGACGCGGAAATAGCCACTTCCTTTTTTTAACTTAACATATTTAACACTAAAACCATTTACATGCCAAAAAGAGTTTCAAACATTTTCAACAATAGATAAGTTACTGAATTGTCATTGATTAATTAGACAATAGGTAGGTATAACTGTTTGAATGTGTTACATAGAATTTACTGTTAATTGCTTTTGACAGAATGTGCAGTAGTCTAGAAGTAGGTGTTAACGACTGCTTGACTGGTGCTTGCGTCAAACCATAAACAAACGACAAACAACAATCAATATCAACCGAAAAGCAGTTTCATTCATCATTTTATCAATTAACACAACTCATCACATAATGTAACTACAACAACTGTAGCCATATATATATATATATAAATATACATAATATATACAAACCATTAGGTTGAATATGAAATTATTATGTACTATAATTAAAATTGCGAGAATAAAACACAGTAGATGGGTACAGATACATGACTAAGTACATACTTGCAACAATGTTCTCCAAAGCGGACCCAAACGCTTTATTTTCTTCGTCATAGTCGTCTCTCGAAATCGATAACGCGCACGTTAGATAACGACAGCACAGGCAGACGACTTCTTCATCGGTGTTACGGACGGCGTTTTATTATTGCATATTTTTAATTTTTATTCGGTGTTATTATTATTATTATATATTAGCGGACGGCCGATTCCGTTGAAAACCGATTCGTCATCCGTTTTCGATAATGCGAATATATGATATTAAACACTGCATACGTACGGACTACGGGCAGACACGGTAAAAAAATAACACACACACACACAGAGATAAGGTGTCGATAAACAGTCCGAAAATGTAATTAAAATTACGGTAAAAAAATAATAATAATAGAAAAAATGAAAAGAGTGAAAATTATTATTATTAATAAAAAATGGAACAGTGAACACGATCGATCCAGACTTTTTCGTCAATGAGCGAAAACGCAGTGCGACCAACCCAACGGAGTCAACAATCTTGATTGTATACAATATTCTGCACTCAAAGCGGGAGGGTGTAAAATTGTGGGCATCGGGCAGTTGGGTCCCCGAGATAACAGCCGTTATCATCAGCATTATTTATCAGCTAATTTTCATGGAATAAACGCTTAAATAGGGGACCAACGAAAATGTAGTAGTACCAACTTCGAAATACTAACATTCCCAATCCATTTTAGTTTTCATCCCAAAATTCCAATGTATTTTAATGTATTTATGTATTTTCAGATTCAAATATTATTATACAATTATTGTACGTACAATAATTCTCGTACAATTAGAAATCAAAGGATTTTTAAAACATCGTAGGTCGTGGGGTTTTCAAAAACTGAAATAACAACTTGTTAGACATGTAAAACGTGTTCGTTCGACCACCACGTGAATAAAAACGNGCACTAATTAACATATATTATTTTTAACATTTTTAAACAATCTAAATATTTTGTTGATACATTAATACATTTAGTTCATATCGTTCGAAATGCCCTGTGGTGATATGTGTGCGACCTAATGATATAGGTGATAAGTTAGTAATTACTTCTATTGTTACTGAACACAATCATATACGGAGTAAGGTGAGTGAGAAAAAAAAACAATTTTGTTTTTACTATAATTAATATTATTATTAGGCAATCTTTGACCACTATCCACGCCAGCGAAGACTTGACTCTGATGCTAAATCAATAGCATCAAAATTAGTGGCAATGAAAGTCAATAAAAAAATCCTGCAGAATGAGTTGATGGCACAACATAATAAAGTAATAACTTTAAAGGACATACACAACTTGGCTTTAACAAATTCTCCTAAGTTAGACGCCTTAAAATCATTAGTTGAAAGTTTTAAAAACAAACAAGGAATTACTTTGGAAATACTGAAAAATAATAATAACGAGTTAAAGGCCATATTCTATCAAGATGATGAAATGAAAAGAATATTTGCATTATGTCCTGAAGTGCTATTTGTAGACGCAATATATAAAGTCAATGATTTGAGACTACCACTTTATGTATTTCTAGGTTTGTACAATCTCTGCATTTGTGTTACAACCTATTAAATAAATAAAGTAGTTGTCGATAGTAATGGGCAAAGTGAAGTTGTTGGTTATTCCATTCTAACTTCTGAAGACTTAGGAACTGTTACACTTATGGCTTCAATTTGATATATTATCTAGAACTAATATTATGACTGTATTTAAAAATACTTGCTTTATACTCTGTGATTTATAGAATTTTACATTTTACATTTACATTTTTACATTTTGTTTTTAAATATTAATAATAATATAAGAACGACTGATTTACATTATTTGTAATATACATATATATATATATATATTTTTGGTATTTTGTAATGATAATATATTATCAATATTTGGACCAATCACAGCATAGGACGCGAAAATAGGTAAATATGCGTCGGACGCGGAAATAGCCACTTCCAAATATAATAATGAAATAAAATGTAAGACAAATTATTTTTCATTAAATTTATATAATATGTATTATTGCATTAATACATTTTAATAAAATATGTTATTGCATTCTTAAAGTTATAGTAGTAGGTGTAACATTATACTATATTTTGTCATCAAATATTTTTATCATCTAGTTGTAATAATAGGTATCTTATATATTATATATTTCAGCAACATCATTCCTGACGAAATCTAAAGATCAAATCCCGGACGGATCCATATCCAAACCAAACGAATATTTGGGTACTGAAAAAATGGGTAAGATATTGGAAAATATTTTAAATTTATATTTTTTTTAACTTAATGAATATGTGTTACAGATCGCGAGTTTCAACAACATATGAACAGAAACATAGCATTTTTAAAAGTTGAAATAAGGAACATTCAAAACAACCAGTTGGTTATTTTGGAGCGACTAGATTCAATCCAATCTCATTTAGAAGATCAACCACTTATTGATAAAACAAATTCATCTATAAATGAGTTGGCTAATTATCAATTTCCTATTGACAATGTAGTAGACCTTTATACATTTGAGGATAATATAAGTGGGGACCAACAGTTCAGAACTCATTTGGTAATATATCAATAGTAATCTATGTATCTGATTTATTGTTTCTGTCGTAACTATTTGTTTTTTAATTATTTAATTTATGTACAGTTTCCATACTTTTTGAACACACCGTAGATACAGTTTTATTCACCAAGCATGCTAACCCCCATTTTTTTCTTTAATAATACATTTTTTTAAATTCTGATTTTTGACATTTCTAAATGTACTCGAAAATAATCTTTAAATTCTTAAATAATTTTGTACTAATAATGGAGTGTCCTTTGGCAATACAAAATTCTATTTATTTTTTTAATAGGTTCTCACCTCCTTTTTACTTAAAATTATTTAGTGGATAATTTTTTTCTACATTTTGAATGAGTAGTTTTGTACAAAGATAATAGTCCTTATATTAAAGATGGTTTTATACAATAATATAAGCTATAGATGAAATATTAGAACTAGTATTTACTATACTTGGGCCTTTTTTACAAATTATTTATATTATTGCATGGATTAATATTAATGATTAAAATGTCCAAATTACTCACTAATAACACTGTAATACTAAAATCAGATTTTGAATAACTACAATAACTATAGAATCAACAATATATTAATTCCAATAATTAAAATTGTAGGTGAAAGAATTGTCATATATCGGAGGAAAGCACACAAAAGCCATGGTAAAAAGAATAATGTCAAAATTATTCAAAGATGAATTATTACAAAATTATTCATTCACTGGAAAGAAAGGAAAAACCCCATTTTCTTCATTGGCGATTTGTTCGGTAATATTTGGTAAGTTTATATTTTTGTGCAAACATATATTTTCTTAATGTTTTATTAGGTACTAATTATAGGTAATATAAATTAAAGTCTACCCTTAATAAAGCTATATTACCATACTACTTGAATATAATTTTTATTCCCTGGTAATTTCTTGCAACAAGCATACCCAACCCTTTTTTATTTAATAATGAGTTTATTCAAAATCTGACTTGGGATTTTAAATATTTTTAATATACTTATTATAAAGACCACTTCTAAATAATAGTACTATATAGTCTATATAAGAATAAGTGTCCTGCTTAGAATATACAAATTTCTATTTTTCAAATGAGAATTCCCGTTATCTCTACAGTAAATAATTTAATGGATCATTTTTCTAAGTATTTTTACATTTTAGAATCGAAATTTGAAAATGTAATTTTTGTGTGAGTAAACTATGCAGTGAACTTATATAGGATAATATAGGGTTTATGATTGGGCGAAGATGAGACGGCGATATGATCAATATGTTGATTTGAAAATTGTATTGATTAATATTAATTAAATTTATGATTAGTAGGGTAAAAGGTTTATAAAAAAACAGTTTTTTTATTTTTAACAAAATAACCGTTTTTATTCATTATTCCATTGTTTTTTTGTTTTAAACAAAATAATTTTTCCTTTTTTTCAATTGTTTTAAACATGTTTCATTTTTTTACATTTATAAGTAATAGTATGGTGACAATTTTGAAATTACATTAATTGTAGAGTAGGAAGACTTCCCGCTGACAAGAAAAATGCATGATTAGAAACATATATATTTTGTTTTAAACACATACTGTAGTTTAAATTAAATTGTTTAAATCATGTTTAAAACTGCAAATTCTGATAATTTGTAAAAGTTATCCAATAATATTTTAATAAATACTAGATCTAAATATATTATTACCTATATTACATTTATTTCATATTTTTGTAATACCATCTTAAGGACTTATTTTTAGTATAAACATTTTAATAACTTATATTAGAAACTTCTTATTTGAATTGTTAATATTATTAGGTACATCAGCATTTTCAAAAAAACTATTCATTTAATAATAGTCTCATGTATATTTATATTTTTTTAGAAGCTGTGAAAAAACAAGTAAAATTTAAAAATGTACCACAAAATGAAATTGAGGAAACTATCAAATATATTTTGGCTCAAGCTCCATTCAACCTAAAACGTTTAACTAATAAAACAAACAAACAGTCTTCTATCTCAGCTCTGCAGTCTACAACATAATAATATTATATATACTTTAAAAAAAATATATTATATATATATAATATTTTGTATTTTTACTTGAATAAATGCATAAATTCTAATAATGTGTTTTTTGTTATATTATTATTTATAGTTAATAAATTATTTTTAGTTTTAATATTTCATAATATAATATTGTTTACATTTTTGAATGACAACATTTGACCAATACTGGATAAATGAAAATAAATATTAATCAATATTTAATTTTAAACTTAATTAAACATTTATTTGGTTCAACTTAAAATATACCTCCAACTTTGGTTAAACATAAATCAATATTTTATAAATTAATATACAACATTAGTTTTAATGTTTAATAAATATTGAAATGTAATGATTATAAAATATTTTACTTTCAATTAGCATTCATGATTTACTTTTGGTTCAACTAATGTACCTGCAACATTGGGAAAATATAAAAAAATCAAAAATCAATTTATTTAAAAAATTTATTTAACATTCAATATTGGATTTTAAATCTTAAATAAACATTAATTAATGTTAACTTGCTGTGTGGGTATATATATATATATTGCGTCACAATCCTACGCTAACGACGAATCACTCGCGTTACTTATATAATATATATAGAACAAAACGAACGATCGCGCACGCGACAAACGACAGACGTAAATACGTAATGCTATCGAGACCGACGGCAACGTAAAAAAAAACATAAGGAGGCGGCGACCAGTTGTCGGAATCGCACCGACATTCGCGTGCACGAATTGCGAACTGTCCCGTACGATGTTGGGTCAATGACTAATTAATCGAATAATACTAGCGCAGTAGCGCCCCGAGGCGGTAGGCCTTTATTGCCGGCGGCGAAAGCCGGTTTTGCTCGTAACAGCGGCGGGGGGTGGGGTTCTCTTCTAGAACATTCTGTGCCTTATCGGCGGAGACCCATGACAAGAATAAATATTGTCGCCGCCAGAGTCGGAACCAAACAGAATTATTCGTACTTAAAGACTTTTGCTTTGTGCCTGGCAGTAGTGCAACAAGACATTTTTCAACAACTATTAAATACATATAAAATTAATTTGGCTTACATCTGCATGTCTTTAATTAGTTAATGGTTATAGTTTTTGAAAGTGTAAATAGCTTGCCAATTATCATGAATCGTGTAAATGCTTGTGGAAAAAAAATAGCTAATGGCAGTTGTTGCCAAAACGCCAAAATTGCTTAACTATTTTTCCAAACAAGGGGCATCAATAGTGACAAGTATACTTATTGCTATTTATAAATTAACAGAACTCTTTCCTTTGTTGCTATAACCCATATAGAACCTATAACTATATAACTAATAGGTTATTGCTTATTAGCACCAATAAACCAGAATTTGTTGTATTGAATTATATGATGTATATAGATGAATCTGAATTCTTAAACCCCGAAAACAATGTTGACGATCCACCACCAGTTCCAAGTTTGTGTAGTATGTCATAAAACGAATACATTTTTAACTAAAAAAAATCCTATTTTATGGTATTATTATTTATGTTTAATAATATCTAAAAGGTATTTCACATTTTACATCTAAACAGTATACCTATTAACTAATAATAAGTCCAAAGTATATTATTGACTTTAGAAAAATTATTTTCTGTTTCAAACTATTGGTAATCAGTTTATATCTTAGGCGGATCTGCACCAGATACTGATATGCAAAAAAGTATACCAGAAAGTAGTATTATTCCTGCTTGTTTTATTGATGGTTCGTCAAAATATCTTGATGGCAAGTGAAGTATATAATATATTTTGTTTAACTTCATGGTAGTCATAACTAATAACCATGTGCAAACTTGCTACTATAAAAGTAAAATTCTGAATTTTTTTATGACAAAGAAATATGAAGGCGTCCGTGCAAAAACTGGAAAACTCCATTTTTTTTTATCAAAATCGGGTTTTAATTGAATTTGATAAAGCAAAAAATTACGAGTTTATCGGTACAAGAACGAGACAAATCCAACAACCAGTATAGGAAATATAACGTATTTGGAGCTATCTTGTTTTTTTTTCCGTAGAAGAACAAGGTAACTCAGGAGCTATCTGGTTTTTGCCATGAACTTTTGCCACGTTGTCTACACTGCATAATATCATCCTGTTGACGGTACTATCATTATAACAAATATCATAATATTGTTCTATATTGTATGATAAATGATAATATAATATAATTCGTTATTTTGTCGATAGGTATTTTTTAATTTTTAAGTATAAGCGTTATTTAGTATTATGCAATATGCATGACAAAATAGATCTATTTTGTCATGGTATTATGTTTTAGTATTAACTAGTTGTTTTTAAGAAATTATAAACATGAACGAAGAGAAGCGTATTAACGATATAATATTTGACTGGGATTCATCAACGTCGTCAGATGATTTCGATGATGACATTGCCGATCCAAATTTCGAAATTGTGAATAATAATGATTCCGATTTAGATGGAATTCATTGTCTTAATAGTGATGATGAAGATGAACATGCCATTATCGATTTGAATGGTCCAACTGTCATAGAAGATTCAAACGATAAAATGGATAATATTAACGAACCATCAACGTTAACTGGCATTAAAAGAAAAAAATGTAACCGTTCATTGTGGAACCGAAACGTTGAAAAAAAGAAAAGAACTGAAGGTATTGAATTTATTAGTAATTATAAAAATAAGGTAGTAAAAAAAAGACAAATTGGAGTAGATTGTAAATGTCCACTAAATTGTTTTTCAAAATTTAACGAGGAAGAAAAAAATAAAACGATTGATATTTTAAACACTATGGGTAGTAAGGAAAAACAAGATACCTATTTAGGTGCTCTCATTACTGTTAATAAAATTGTAAGGCGTAGACCAAAGGCTGGAGATGGACCTACAAGGTCTTGCTCATGTAAATTCAAAAAACGCATTAATATCAGAGAAGTCAATGTTTGTAAAAAAGCATTTTGCTCACTGCTTGGTATTGGGAAATCTAGGGTGAACAGGTTAATCAAAAAAGTAAAAATAAATGAATTTAGTCCCGTAGATTTACGCGGAAAACACATGAACCGTCCAAATAAGATACCCGAAGATTTAATCTTTAAAATACATTCACACATTGCCAGTTTTCCGAAAAGATCATCACATTACAGTAGGTGTGATAATTCTAACACACAATACTTGTCTTCAGATCTCAATATTTCTAAAATGTACAAATTGTTTTTGCAATTGCATGATAAAGATACATATAATAATTTAGAAAATGGTGATTTAACATGCAAATTTAAAATATAAATATTATGAAAAATATATGAAAGAAAACTTTAATTTATCCTTCGGCTATCCTAGAACGGATACTTGCCAAACGTGTGATAGGTTGAAAGTCCTAGTTGAGCATGAAATCGACCCAGAAATAAAACAACAGTTGGAAGTTGAAAAAGAGGTTCACTTACGTAAAGCAGAAGTTTTTTACACTAATTTAAAGTTATATAGTGAAAAAGCTAAAGCAGATGAATTTGTAGAAACATTAACTTTTGATTTTGAGCAAAATTTTCCACTTCCACATATCCCGAGTGGTGATGTGTATTATAAACGCCAACTGTCGTCATATAATGTCTGTATATTCTCAGGTAAAACAGGAAAATCATATCACTTTATGTACGACGAAACAATTGCAAAAAAAAGGGAAAAATAATGTCATTAGTTTTATAAACTATTTTTTGAAAAATCTCTTATCGCCTAATGTTAAAGAAATATACCTTTTTTCCGACAACTGCAGTGGTCAGAATAAGAACAATGCATTGTTTCAATATTTATATAGGTACTGTTGTGAAATCAAATTTTTATGGGATAAAGCAGATAATACATAGGTATCCGGAGCCAGGGCATAGTTTTTTACCTAATGATCGATGCTTTGGACGAATAGAAAAAAAAAGAAAACGTTTAGAACGAGTTTATTTGCCTGAAATATATCATGAACTAGATCGCAATACGTCGAAAAACTTTATAGTGATTAAAGTTACACAAGATATAATTTTTAACTTTTCTGACAATTTAAAAACTATATTTAAAAAATCTGTAACTGGTGTTGACAAAAATAGCAAATTTTCCATTATGGCTTACATATATATGGAGTATAACTCAGAAGGTCTACATTGTAGTATATCAGGTCATTCTACTGCGAAAGAAAAATTTGTACTTGAAAAAAAAGGAAAAGAAGTAAAATTACCAGAAAATTTACCAAAATTATACAATGTAGTGTTAGGAATAAAGTCAGCCAAGTATACTGATGTTCAAATCTTAGCATCAAAATATGTCCCACCAGAATATATTTGGTTTTATAGAAATCTAGTTGAAGAAAATACCAACAGTGATGAAATAATATGTATGTCAGGTGATGATGATTAAAATACAATTTTTTGTTTTTTGTTATGCACTTAATATTTAAAAAAATTGTTATTAATTACTAATTACATATTATTTATGTTTATAATACAATATTTTACAGTATACAATAATATTATATAGTTTGCTCAAAGTTATCAAGTTGAATTAATTAATACCTATTATTACATTTTGTTTTGTTTGGTTTTTTGTTATTTATATTATAATTTTAAAAAAATATGTTAATAATTATTACTTTTTATATGTTATTATGTTTATAATATAATATTTCACAGTATAAAATAATATGTTTGCTCAAAGTTATCAAGTTGAATTAATTAATACCTATTATTACATTTAGTTTTGTTTTGTTTTTTGTTATTTACATTATATTTTTAAAAAATGTTAATAATATATTATTTTATAACTATTATAGGTGGATAAACATTTAAATGATACAAGTTATAAAGAATAAGTACATATATATTTTTTACATTCAAGGTAGGATTTAGTTTTATTATGTTATACTATTTTTGAATAGATAAAAAAAAATTTAATATTGAACATAATATTTTGAAATAAATCATTTATTAAATATTGTACTTGCGAATTTCTATTCTTTCTCTCTTAATTTACTACATTTCACTATGTTTAAGATAATGAAACTAAGTTTGATATAATTAGAATTAATAATATTAAAATTAAATTAAATATAATTATATATATAAATTTTAACAAAAATGTCTGGGCAAAAAACCAGGTAACTCCAAAAATTGTAGGTTAGTATTAGCCCTCATCTCAAATAAAAAACGAAAATCGAATCACCTACTGTGGCATATTTTTCATCGTGGTCTAGCATATCTAAATTGATATCAACATTAGTTTTATCTTAAGCTCAATATTTTTAAAATGGTTTTTTATGGCTCCTGAACAATTACTAAAAATGGAGCTGTATGGTTTTTGCACGGACGCCTTCATATTAGGTTGAAATATTTTAAATTTTCTTTTATATACCTTATTATCGTCATTTTCTTTTTGTTATAGCTCAATATCCTGTCATGGACGTTTCAATTGTTCCAAGGTAATTTCTTAAATGTTTCAATTATATTATAACTCATATAATATAGACTATACCTACGTCTATACAGTTTCAAATTACAATATTAAAATAACTAATTTATGGTGTTTTACATTATTTATTAGTTTTGTGAGTGATGATCCGGCACTTTGGATTATTAACGGAGACACAATAAACCATATTATCGAACATGGGTTTAAACAAAATCTTCAAAATCCACAATTTCCTAAATCAAAAAGAATAATACCGGGAAAACGTTCTCAATTCAGAAAATTGTCATTAAGTCTGTTTCAAAGAACTTTATTGAATGGAGAATCAGGCAATCGTGGGTATTTGAGTTACTCAGTAACTACAGGATCAGTATATTGTGTACCTTGTCGTTTGTTTGGTAATCAAGTGCCAATACTCAAGAGGGATGGTCAGATTGGAAACATCCTGAACGAGTTAATGATCATGAAAATACTAATGATCATAAAAAATGTGTTGACTATGATTGAGGAGTCGTAAAAAAGGAAAAATTGACAGTGAATTAATTGAAAGTCTAGAATTTGAAAAAAAATATTGGTAAAATGTCTTAACTAGAGTTGTTGCAATAGTAGTATCACTGACATCTAGAGGATTACCAATAAGAGGACTTAATGAATGCTTTGGATCACTACATAACGGAAATTGCATGAGAGAAGTAGAGCTTATTGCTCAGTTTGATCCTTTTTTATCGAAACATATAGCACAGTATGGGAATTCAGGAAGAGGTAAAGTTTCATATCTTTCATCTACTACTTATTATGAAGTTGTGCATATCACGAAGAACAAAATAATGAAAACAATAATTGATGAAGTTAAAAATGCCAAATATTTTTCTATAGTTGTAGATTCCACACCTGACATAAGTTATAATGACCAATTATTTTTGATATATAGATATGTTTTGAATGGAACTCCTGTAGAAAGATTCATACAGTTTATTCCTAACATTGGACACAAAAGCAAAGAAATCGCTGACACAGTACTTAAAACAATACATGAACATGGATTGGATATTAAAAATTGCAGGGGACAATCATACGACAATGCCTCTAACATGTCAGGCAAATACAGTGGTTTGCAAGCAAGAATTAAAGAAGTTTCTCCGTTGGCAGAATATGCACCTTCCTCAGCTCACTCCTTAAACCTAATTGGTGAGTGTGCTGCTGATAGTTCTCCAGAATCCACAGCATTTTTTTGTCTTATGCAAAATATTTATGTATTTTTTTCTTCTTCTACAAATCGATGGATGACTTCTATTTCTCACACATCAAAAAATGTTACACTTAAAAGAAAATCGGATACTCGTTGATTAGGCCATATAGGGACTCGCTCGGGCTCGAAACTACCCACACAGTCCAAATTCTTACTTACTATACTGTTATTGTGAACCCCGGTCTGTATGCTATACACACTACGCAGTATGAGATATAGTAATAATATAATATAGAATAGTGTGTAAGCATATTAATATGTGAACAGGCAGAGTCACACGGTCTAAGGGAATTCGCTGTGTGGACAGTTTTGAGCCCGAGCGAGCCCCTACCATGTCTCGATGTCTGTGTAAGAGTTAGTGTAGTACTGTCAGACCATCGAGCAGAACCTCTGTTAATTTCTTAAGTCTAATAAGCATTCTGTACAACTAAATTTCATCAATTGATTGTATTTTGTCAAACGCTTTCGAGTGATTGCTTTCAGCTTTTTCAATTTTTCATATATACCTTAACAGGTTGACTGCCAACCCATTTTTTGTCAAATTTGATTACATCGCCATGAGACCCATATTAGGATCTCATCTAAATGTCCAAACATTTTGTTGATATCCATTTGGGGATCTCACGTATATTACATTTTAATAATTGAGATCTCGAGTTGGATCTCATATATCACGGTAATTTAAATGTGATTAGATTCTACCGTATTTCTAGTTTTATTTGGTAGTTTTAGCAAGGAATTATCGTCTTTTGTTTATTTTTCATGATTTTTTTTGTTTATCCTACTAAAATAACCTTTAATATGCTTTTAATTGACTTAATTATTACTTTTAAATTTTAATACGTTAACGAGTTGCACAAAGGTGAAGGTAGGAATAGTGAGCATCGGTACAAATGCACAAGACCTCATAGTGTGATTGATAAAATTCCCTCCATTATTGTTATCATGATAAATGATAATACAATTTAAAAAATGACTATTTATTAATTTTTAGGCTGTTGACTCGTTTCACTGTATGTATAATACGAGTATTTACTTAAGAACTAAGAAGTGAACTTATTTTAACAATGGATGAACACATTATTAGTCAGATGTTGGATTCTGATTTCGACGAGTTTGATGATGTAGATGACACCGATGAAGATCCAACTTGGGACAATGATGATGTGAACTCTTGTTGTAAGTAACTATAATACAAATATTATATTTTACACACTTTAAATGTTTTTTAATTATAGATTCAAGTGAAGTTGACAATCAATCTGTGTGTAGGAATTTGTTCTCCAAAAATATTAATAAAGGTATTATTTTGTATTAATTGTGTGTTACCTACCAATATTTTAACAGCTGTGGATATTTATAATTTAAATAGTGTACCACTTGTAAATGAATAAAATGCACATATTGTTCTAGCCTTTCGCATATCACATTGGAATCTATTGAAAATATAAATTTATTTATGTTTCATATTATTTTTAATATAAAAATAATAAAAGTAATATTAATTATAGAATTTTATAGTATTTGGTTGTAGAATTGTATATTATAATTGGTACTTGTATAACAATTTAATTTGATTATTTTTTTTAATTAGTTCAAGATCAAATATTTGACGATATTGTGCAGGATAATTACATTAATCATGGTGAGTTATTTGTATGTTATAATATAGATTATACATCATAATAATTATTTATTGTATTCTTAGATATTTCTCATATAAGTGACTCTGATCCTGATGAAGAACCTATACAAACTGTGCGAAATACTGGACGTCCTAGAAATACACCTCAACAAGATGTTAATCCTAGACAGTGGAGAGATGACGACTCAGTAATTAATTCATTTATATTTAATCCTGACAATGGAGATTACAGTATTAACCCTGATTTGTACGACACATTATATGATGGTTCTCCTATTGATTTTTATCACTTAATAGTAGATCAAAATATTATAAATAATATTGTCATTGAAACCAATAA